CTACACCCTAAAGATTTGTGTCCGTTTTACAACTGTAAAAGAATTTCCAATATCAAGGGAAGTTCTACATTAATGTAACAACAAGAATTACAAGGATATTTATTCACCATATCCTTGTAATAGACACAGTAGCTGCCACCATTTAAAGAACCTGGCCCACTGCTAGACTGTAAGCAACATGCAGGTAGAGACCATGTGTGCATAGCATGCTCAGCCTGTGGCAGGAAACGCTAACTGATGGGCAAAGTGAAGGGACGATCGGTGCTGTTCATGGCTCACTCTTGGAGAAGGCACAGTTGCCAAAGCCAGGGTCAGAAACACGTACACTGGGAAAAAGTATTCATTTGACCTCCAAGGATAATAATCATCTGGCTTACAAAATGAGCTATATTAATTTCATTTTTTAAAGTCTTATAATATCTGGTATTAGTTTGAGACAGAAGCTAATTGTGTTGTCCAGGTTGGTATCGCTCAAATGATCCTCCCCCCTCAGTCTCCTAAGTAGCTGGGAGTACAGGAGTGTGTCACTATGTCTGCTAGGAATGCTCTGTTGGATGTCCAGTTATTTGAAGACAATTAAGAAAAAGAAACCATTCTCATATGTGACCACTGTTATTCGTCCTTTACTTTTTGTTCTTTTGCAAGCATGTGTTGTTCTGCCTAACAGACTTCTTTGGGACATTTCCTCTGGAGTCATTATGTCCACCGCAGCCCATACCCTCTAATTTCTCCCCCTTACAATTCTTCCCCAACTTGCTCCTGGGAGACTGGGAACTGGAGCCTGCTTTCTGTTACCAGATCCAGAAATGTTTACAGGAATTGTAACACGTCCACTTTTGGAGGGTGGAGGTACTGGGGATTTAACCCAGGGGTGCTTTACCATTGAGCTATATCCCCAGCCTTTTTAAAAAATTTGAGCTAGGGTTTCACTAAATTGCTGAGGCTAGCCTCAAACTTGCAATCCTGCCTCAGCTCTTGAGTCACTGGGATTACAGACCTGCACCACCATGCCTGGCAATATGTCCACCTTTTAAAGACATTCTCAATGGCCAGGGCCTTGATTTGCTGGGCACTTCCCTTCTGTTTTTGCTTTTTAGTTGTATACCTGTTCTGTTTTTAACATTCCAATTTCCAATGATGGTCTTCAGCATTACAACAACTTTATTTGCCAAAGGTAAAGAAGAGATCATTTTAGTAGCAAATACACTGGCTGAAGCTTCAAGAAGTAGCAGTCAGTAGATGGAGGTTACACTCTAGGTCTACCTGAGACTACCTAAGAATGTAGAGGAGCTCCCACATCAACCAACAAAAAACCCTAGTGGTTAGCTATATGCAAATAGGGTATAAATGAAAGTTAAGTGAGGCTTCTGAGGGACAGTACCCTAATGGTATTGTAATGGGGTCAGTCAAGAACTAAGTGAAGTTAATCTGTCTGTAGAATTGTTATTGCATCTCCTTACTGTTCTCTTAGGTAATATACTCACAGTTCCCAGGTCAAATGTGGATCTCTCACTGGAATTAGCAATCTGATTTGTAAATCTATTCTCTTGATGCATGGTTCACAATAAAGAATTTCTAGACCTGAAATGTTGGGAATCAATGCTAGCAGAGGCCACCTCTAACAGCAAGTGGGGGAACACCTGGGCACTTGCCAAGGCTGTCCTCCTTATGGTCCTGTTGGGCCACAGAGTCTCCTTCAACTTGCCATGCTAGAGTGACAGAGATCATCAACTCATGGAGCAGGCAAACCAATATCCGGATTCTCCCTACCATGCCTGCATCTCCAACACTTCTCAAGGAACTGTAGTCACACCCAGTGGAAGGGAATAGAAGAGAGAAAATGAACAGGCTTTGTGTAGTTGCTAATAGAAGCCCTCACTCTGCCATGGCCTCCACCCCATGTCCTGCCCTGGCCAGATGGCAATATTATATACATCTAGAGATATGTGCCATACTCAACACTGTCTTTTTTGCAGGGACTCTATAGAGTACATTGGTGTTTGCTCATGTGAATGGGGCAGAATTCAGATGGCAGCTGGCTGAAGGAATATGCTGGTGATAGAGTAGGTAAGAAAGGAAGCAATCAAAAAGCAACTTGGAAATGCCAAGTAAAAGACAATGGAAGGGGCTGGGATGGTGGCTCAGTGGTAGAGCGCCTGCCTAGCACGCACGGGGCCCTGGGTTCAGTCCTCAGTACTACATAAAAATAAATAATAAACGGAATAAAGGTATTGTGTCCAACTACAACTAAAATAAATAAATAAATAATTTTAAAAAGACAATGGAAAACACTGGGAAGAATGTAACTCTTTCCTTAAAGTGCTCTGTTAATAGTTTCTCAAATCTAACCAAATGGAATTTACATAGCCAGATATTAACAACGATGACAGTCACCTTTTCCCAAGCTTGGAACACCTCCAATTTTGAAGGATTACTCCAACAACTTTGGCTTCTTCAAATAGAAACATTATTTGTAGATAAATATATTATTTTTTCAAAGGCTGAATTAAATCTTTGTATTAAATCCTGGTGCAAAAAGCAATGAGAAACCTCACTTTATTTTCTAAATTTCATTTTTAAAAAGTTGAACAATATTTGCACAATTTTAACTAATCTAAAGTTTACCAAAATGGATTCTTGCCAATAAGTCTATAAATCCCATACTTGAGTGTGTTTGCTGAATGTCCTTAAAGGGAAAAAAATTCTACTGTAAGCACATTAACTACAAGACATAATTCTTAAAATATATTTGAGGTAAAAGTCTTCTATGGAGAGGGTTAATTTACCTTTTCATTAATAATTAAAGGTACATTATGAACACATGGATTAAAAATTTGCCATATATAGCTTTTAGGGCCATGCACCAAAGGTTGACTCGATTAAAAGGTAATGATCCTTAAAAAACTGGAGTCATGAAATGTAACCCCTCATTCTTCACTGTAACTTTCTGTACCAACTCCTTCGATTTCCATGCCTCAGCACTTCTCATTTTGCTTCTTTCCCTGTAGATTTTGCCCAGGAATTCTGAGAATACTGGATGTTCTTCTACTTCCAGCAGGAAATTGCTGCTGGGGGAACTTCCTACCAGGGCTAAGCTTTTCTCTGCATTGCAGAGGGGTGGGGAGGCGGGTGTACAGTACAGGCTGCCTAGAATAGATCCCAGACCTTGGGCCTCACAGCCTTGTGGTGACTGAACTCAGAGCTTCCTCACATCTCATATTTGCATTCCAGTTCACAGAGCCATTTCACACACTAGCTGGCAATTCTTAAGCCTGCTGGAAAACTAACCCAGGATTCACCTCATCCATCACGGAACTATGGCTGTCCTTTGAGGGCTACAGCAAGGGATGGAGGAGTGTTTTTTAATCAGGACTAAATCTACCAGTGAAGAGGGATAATTCCTCAAATTTAAACTCTGGAAAATGAAATGGAAGAGAAGCAGGCCAGGAGTTGAAGGTGGGCTCCAGAGGCAGAGGGAACTGGGTTCAGATCCTTCTTCTTTATTACTCAGTTATATGACCCTGGGCAAGTCTCCTTAAATATGTTCCCTCCTCTGTAAAATGGGAATAACAAAACCTATCTTACAGGGTTTGGGGAACTAAAAGAAATGATGCAGTAATACACACAGCCAATGTCTGGTATACAAAATACTTGGTAAATGCTAAGACTTCATGTTTGGAAGTGGGTCTGGAGCTTGGGTTCAAATCCTATTGCTAGCATTAATAGTCAAGGGCATCTGATGCATTAGGTAAACTTCCCTGAATCACTTTCTATACCATGAAAATGGAATTTTATTACAACTCATAGTAGATATCTAATAATTATTAGCTACTCTTGTTTCATTGGGAGTAAAAACAGCTTGTATTTCTACATCAACCAATAATGTAGTGAATTAAGTGAGACTTCAGTGTAATGTGTATTTTTTTTTAAATCGTGAAGATTTTGTACGCATTTATGAATTCTGCAGTAGAGTCAGGCTGTGATGCTAAGGGTGGGGTTAAACTGTAATATGAAGAAAAAAAACTAAAAGGGAGTATAAACCACCCACCAGGGAGCTATTTCTTTTGTAATGTGCATTCCATTTCTTCTCCCTCATGCTTTTTAATTCCTTCCACATTTCCTGCCATAATTATCAAATGTTTAGTTTCTGACCTCACTTTTCTGGAGACTAGAGCCCAGGGAATTTAGAATTGTTTATTTTCTGTCCATAAACCTTTGAGTTAATGGAGGGGCTTGTGAGCGAAGCGTTGTTGGTTTGTTTGTAGTGTCTCAGGAAGGTCACTGGAGTTGAAAAGAAAACATTACCAGGAAAAAAAAAAAAAGAAAGCTGAAATGCCTTAACTGGAAACGCAGAGCCCCCAAAGGGCAGAGCCATGGATCTCTCACACTTGCGCAATGTGAGTTTAAAGAATAATTTAGATTTTTTAAATGCCCTTACATGGCCTAGATAACAACAACAACAACAACAAAATCCCAGGGCATTTTGAAAAGAAAAAAAATAAATTTTCAGGGAATCATAATCTCACTTTATAAAGAAGAAAGGGAAATTTATTTTGCCCCGAAAGAGGAATCTTTTGATTCCCCAACCCCCACCCCCCGGGGAAGACAGACTTGGAAAGGAGAAGTCCTGAACTATTCTTAATTTCCTCTAAAGTGAAGGGAAGAACTCAGGGCGCCTTTTTGAACTCGACTGCTGCTGTCGCCGCGTCGGTCCCAGTCCGCCCAGTCGTGCTCTCTCTCCCCCACCCCACCCTCCCTCCATATTAGGCGCGGTGGGGCTCTCGCTTATGGCCCAAACTTATCCTGATTTTGAGACTGAAGTTTGGCGAGTAGCATTTCTGCTCCGAGCGCCCCCGGAGCCTCGCCCCACCCCACTCCACCGCAAGTGTGGAAACTCCCAGCCCCACCCCGCGAGCATCCTAGGACTCACGCCGGCCGCCAGGCGCGCAGAGCCCCTTGGCCTGAGGCCCGCGTTCCGACCTCCTGGACCCCTCACCTACCTCGGCGTGGACCCAGGCGACGGCCACGAACGCGAGCGCAAGCCAGTGTTTCCACATCTGAGGAAGAGAGAAGAGAGCGAGACTGAAGGCGCCGGGCCCCGCGCCGACCCGGGAAACTTCTTCAGGTCCCGCAGGCTCGTCCCCTCCGCCCGGGCACCCCAGGCCGCCCGGAGGGGTCGAGCCACCGCACTCCGTGCTCACCATGGTCCGGTCCGGGGCTCCGGAGGGCGCGGGACAGAACGGCTGCAACGAGCTCAAAGCGAAGGTGGGAGCTTCGCGGATCAGCAGCCTCCGAGGAAATTCGACCTGGGCTCGCCGCCCCTTAAGACCCCTCCTTCCCCGACTGCCTGCCCCCCAGCTCCTCCCATTCTCCTCCCACTTCTGCTGCAGCGGGCCCCGCGGCTCCAGCTCCCCTCCCTTCCCTCGTCCCCGGCTGCGGGGAGCCCTCGTGCGTCCGGGCTCAGCCTAAACCCTTCTCACCGCACGGCCCTTCGCCAGGCATCCCTCCGACCCCCAGGACGCTGAAGCGAAGGCAGTGGGAGCTGTCCCGAGGGACGCTGCAACAAAGGCCGAGAGGGGAAAAGGGTGGGGGGTGGAGGGGGGGCGAGGAGAGCCAAAACCCCTCCCCCGGGAGGGGCGGCTGGCCTGCAGCAGTCCCGGCCGCAGCCAGCGGCGTGAGCTGCAGAGGTGGCCAGGTGGGCGGTACCGTTGGGGGCCCCGGTCTAGGCCCGGACTGGACCCCGAGGAGAAGATGCCCTGCAGCCTAGGCAGTCTGAGCCTCCCTACTGCTGAAAGGGAGAGGATTGGGGTACAAAGGAGCCCCCTCAGCCCAGGGACTAGGGTGCCGCTGTAGCCAGAGCATCAGGAAGTGAGTACAGAGGCCAAAGACCAGCCGGCGCAGGGAAGGCTGGTCTGGGTTCAATCGCAGGGTGAGGGTGCAGTCCCCTGCTTTGCTGAAAAGATCCTGAGTCCAGCATCTGCTGAGAGTCTTTTCCTGCCCTTCCCTCAGGTCCAAGAGCCGTGTCTGCTTCCTCTTCCCAGCCCATGCCTCACCTGTGTCCCTGTCCTTCTGTCATTACAGATAACTGTCCTGCTCATGCCTTGGATATCCACCAATTTCTTCCTAGCAGCCTTCAAAGGTGTCTTACCTCTTTGAAGGTGCTCCCCACTCGCTTAAATCTGCTTCTTTTCCTGCCATGAGTCCCCGTGGCTAGTGCGGAGAACTAATCTACTTGGCATCTCAGATTTAACTTGCCCAAGGCTGAATCCCTCTTCCCACCAGCTCTGGAGCCTGCTCATCTACCTCCTTCAGTGGTTGCCTTCTAAACATATCTCCTTATTCCAGAGCTTGGTTGTCACCATAGCCTGGCAATTTTCCCATTGAGATCGCATATGCATCCCTCCACTCCCTATTTCCACATGCCCACTTTCCTAGGCCAGACCTTCATCTTCCCTCATTGAGAAATTCTAGAAACCACTTCTGGTTGCCCTCTGGCTCCAGCTGCTCCCCAACAACCCACTCTTCTAGTTCCATTGCAACACATTGCCATAGTTTCTCATTACTTGGCTTAAATTCTCTTTCTCATGTTTTTCCTTTACTAAAAACCTACAGCAAGCACTCTTACCCTACATCAGATCCAAACTTCTTCTTTCCTTGTGAACCCCCCATTACCTGGTATACCCTAACCCTCTCTTCATCTACTTCAACATGTTCCCTCTTCTCAAATTAGTCTAGTCTTTACATTGTCCTCTGAATTTATATTCTTTGACCCAGGTTTGCTGAGTACCTACTGTTGAGGATTTAGGAGGCTTCAAAATAATGCCCAGATTCCCAGTGCAAATTCAAAATCCATCAATGGCTATAGGAGTCACACTGACTGGAGAGCAAATATCAGCTTTGTTCCTGGTGAAAGCTGGAATGGTGGCTTTAGAGCTTCAGGGACAACAGGCCTACTAGTACTTCACCCCAGAGTTACAAGCAGAGTTGGAAAGCCTACTTGTATTAAACCCACAGCATGAAAAAAACAGAAAACACTGCTTCCTGGGGCAGGCCTGCTTCCTAAACTTAGAGTATAGAGGATGCATGACTACTTTGGATTTCACCAGTCAGAAAACTTCTTCCTGCTCACTCCTCATGGAAATAAGAGGAGCAAGAAATAGATGTATCCCCACTAGATATACTGTCCTAATCCTTGTGCTAGGATCAAAGGAGGGAAGTATGGTATATAAAGTTTTGTTTCTGTCCTCTGTCAATCACAATACTTTGCACCCTTCATTTAGCACTGTTCCCCCTCAAAATTGGCATTCTTGGTTTGGGGTTATAGCTCAGTGGTAGAGTACTTGCCCAGAATGTATGAGGCACTGGATTCAATCCTCAGTACCACATTAAAATAAAAGTATTGTGTTCATCTATAACTAAAAATTTAAGAAAAAAACTGGCATTCTTCTTTCTGTATATTAAAATTCTCTTTTGTTATTGTTATTTTCAGAGCCCAAGTCAAATTCTTTGCTCTCTAGCACCTTTTTCGACAAAACTTGGCAAAGTGTAAAGTATGTAAGGTTTGAAGTCAAACTAACCTGACTTTCAGTCCTATCACTGCCATTTGCTAGCTGGGTGACCTTCATCAAATTCCTTAAGAACCTAGCTTTCTGCATGTGACAAATGGCAGTGATAACGCCCTTCAGGGATTGTGAAATTTAAATAGACACATTATAAAAAATGCCAGGCAGGTAGCAGGCCTCTGTAAATGATGACCATTATTTTTTCATTGTTCTTTTGCATCTAAATAGCAGTTTGTATATGTGCCAGGTACTTGAGAATCATTCAACAAGTCTTATTTTATTTGTCACAATAAACTAAAAGGTTTTTTTTGTTAGTTCCATTTTCAAATAAGAGAACTGAAGCTCTGAAAAATTTAGATACTTTTGCAAGGTTATACATTTGGTTATCCAGCTTTTCAGCTTGGCATTTTTATTGCATACTGTTGTACAATGTTTAACACTTGTTTACATAGTTCTTGATTCAGAGTATGGTTATCAGTGGGAAGCTTTGGTTGCAAGTGACAGACAGAGAAGCCAATTTCAATAAATGGCTCTGAGATCAAATAGAATTTATTGACCCATGTAGCTGAGCAGTCCAGAGATAAGACTGGATTTAGGTAAGCCTTTATCTGGGAGTTCAAATAAGGTCACCAGAGATCTCTTTCTTGCCATCTCTTGCTTCCACCTTTCAGCAGTGTTATTGCATTCCTGAGTTCTACAGGGTGGTTCCTGCAATCCCAAGTCTATTCTCTCATTGTGGTAACTGACAGCAAGACTAGTCTCATCTGGGTGAGAGAAAGAGCCTTTTTCTGGAGCTGCTACAAATGTCATAAGACACACTTTTTTTTTTTCCTTTTGCCCTATTGGGGACTGAACACCATTGAGCTATATCCCTAACCCTTTTTATTTTGTATTTTGAAACAGGGTCTGAATAAATTGCCCAGACTGGCTTCCAACTAGCTATCCTCCTGTTTCAACCTCTGAGTCCCTGGGATTCCAAGCATGTGTCAGTGCTAGCCAAGGTATGCATTTTAAAAGGCCAAATTGAGTTTCTTGACATCTCCAAACTGATCACTGTGGTGGAGCAATTGGCTGGCTTAAGCCAATGAGGACCCACCCTTGGAACATCCAAAAGAAGTTCAGTCTGATGTTGGCAGGAGAAGCAGGGAATGGATGCTGAAAGAAGCCAATGTCCACTACAACCTCTACTGTGAATTCATTCTTCTCCAAAGATGGGTAAAGGGCCCCCAGAAGCCATGGGAAAAGAAAGTTAGAACTTCTGTTTTTACTTATTTCCTATCTAAAAGTAGAAATTGGCTTTGCAAATATGAGTTGACTCCGGTGTTCATATTTGGTTTCTATGTCAGCCATGAGTTAAACCTCATTCTCCTAACACCATGAGGAGAGAGTGGGTATTCTTCCATACAAAGTGAATGACAGCAGCTAGTCCTTTTAACAGACTGTGGTGTGGTGTGCTGTAGTGTGCCCATTTCAGTGGATTTACACATGATACTATCTATTTTAAACTAGATTTAAAATAGTTCAGATATAAAACCATAACTGAAGATAAAGCTTTTTTCTAATAGTAAGGAAAGGGCTAACTAACACATTTCCTACTTCAGAAAAGAGTTTACCATCTGCTCCATTAACATGATAAAAGCAATTGACAATTAAATCTGACCATAGTCAATTAAAAAATTCAAAAGTAACATTATGACTATTTAAAACATAGATTCACAGTCATTGTTATGGCTTAATCCCTTGTATGCCTTGAAATACTGGTTAAAACCACAACCTTTAAAAACCAGGTATCTGAACATAAAGACAAATCCTGATTTTTTTTTTTTTCTTTTTGGTGAGTATATGTAATACTCAGTTTAGTACTTTAGAAAATTTCACTTAGTTTAATACTAAATGTTTAGAGACTTTATTTTAGGTTTCTTAATGACAAAAGACATTCTGTTGAGGAAATATTTGTTTTCCTGCTTTAATAGGAAACAGTATATGAAGAACAATATGATGGCAAAATGTGGGTACACATTTTGTGTTTTGTATCCATGGATTCAGCTAAGCACAAATAGAAAATATTCAGGAAAAAATTATGTGTTTTATAAGCATGTACAGACTTTTCCCCTTGCCATTGTTCCCTAAGTAATACAGCATAACAACTATTTACATAGCATTTGCATTGTATTGGGTATTATAAGTAATCTAGATATAATTTGAAGTGTTTGGGGGGAGTATAATAACAATAGGTTATATGCAAATATTGCACTATTTTACACATGGGAGTTGAGCATCTTTGGATTTTGTTACCTTCAGGGGTGTCCTGGAAACGATCACTGAGGATTTCAAGGGATGACTATATATATTGCTGTAGATTAGCAGAAAATGAAATAAAACAAGTACCAGAGCAAATGACACCATGTGGGAGATTGCTGTATAGAGAATAAATATATAGATGTCTCAAATGTTCCTTAGATTATTATATTGGCTAAATTCTGTTTCAATAATGAAATGCACAAAGAATTGCTTTGTGTGTGTGTGTGTGTGTGTGTGTGCAACCTAGGAAGGGTATACTGAGAGAGAAACATTCTTAATAATACATTGCATCTTTAATGAAAACAATATTTTCTGGAAGAACGGTGCAAGTAAAGCCACGTAGGAGTGGAAGGATTTGGGCAGGGTTCCACAGTGAGGCTCACATGTGAAATCTTCACTGCACCATCCATGGAGGAACTGCTGCAGCAAAGGCACTGGAGTCAGAGGGCACATAATGTTACAGAAAGTCATTGATGTGGTTAATAAGTTTTATAAGTTAAAATATAGCAGAATATTTGTAATACTTAATAATGATGTGGGCATGACAATCAAAATATTTTATATTTCATTAAGACTCAAAGATGATT